CTTTATTTTTATGTACTCTATATATATATATATTTATATATACATATGTATATGTAATAATATTGTAAATGCAAAAATGTTTATTTCTTTGACATTCTTCAGAATATGATCAAAGGTAGCACATTTTTTTTATGTTATCTCTCATAAAGCGGATCACGTCTCTAGATAAACAGCGCAGAAGTCACGTTTTTCTACGACATGTTTTAACACGGCGCCAGCAATGTGTATCTCACAAGGGCAAACAAAATCATGCGTGTACTGACTGGCATGCAATGTCGTGCTATCATTTCAGTGTTTTGCTGATGTCGTCGTTTGTCACTTTACTTTATTTTGACAGAGTAATTTAAAATATTATATGTTTAAAATATTAAAAGATTCAAAAAATGTTAATTTTCATGTAGAAGTAATATCAATTAATTAGCTATTTTAATCAGTACTGATCAGTATTTAAAATCTCTATTTTATTATAAAAAAATAATTAAATACTACTTACGTCTTTTTCACTAACGAGTATAAAATTCTTCAGTTCATCAAGATATTGATTAATTCGAGCACGTCGTCGTTTTTCCATAATCGGTTTGTTGCTCTGAAATAATAGGATTAATATTCATTATTTATTCACAATGGTAAATATTTTTTTTAAACATCATGTCTGTTACTTCTTTCTGTTTCGAATAAAATATATTAATTTTTGATATAAAAACTTTCTATACAATTAAAATTGGAATGATTAGAATGATTCGGAATAATTGAAATGATTGAAAAGATTCAGCCTTCGACAATGTGAAATTTTCACCCTTCATTCACAAAATAGGTTTTTAAACTTCAGTGCAGATTATATTTTTTGTTCCGGATTACATAAAAATTCTTAAAACATTCTTAGACTTATAAAACTTTTATTAACAAATGTTTACTGTTACACAAGTTGTATTTTATCTTTATTTAATTTAAATCAAACTTAATTTATCTAAAACTGTCAATCAAAAAATTGACTGTCTTTAAAATTCAACATTGCCAACGGAGAATTAATCTCGTCTGATTACAAAATATATTCACCCTCCTCAATTCCGCTTTCGTCATTCCCGAATGTGTCTGAGGCTCGAGTTCTTCCTCACTGCCTAACATTTTGTAGTTATGGTAATCCACTATTAAGCAGAAATCTTGATCATTATATCTTCTGTGCGCGTGAATGCACTTATTGTAATTAATTACTAAATTAATTCTTGAGAATTATCCTGATCTTGATTACACTCACAATATAAGTCAAAGTTGAACGTTTGCACTAAAGAACACTGAAACTCTTTTCAACAACCAAGTGCTTTCAAACATGCAAATATGAAAAATATTTGCACCAAAGTAAGCACCGATGCTTATTTTAAATAAATAAATATAACAATTTTTGCCATTAGTCAGGCAGTCGGTCTTGTGTCAACGTGTGACTTCGAAATTAAGTTAAAGTGATATGTAAAGAAGTCCATCTTCACTGATGGACGCCTCGCTTGGGGTATTGAGGGTAACTGTTTTCGATTTCGAAGACCGCATGCCGATGTACCCGTAAAGAGTGGGGAAAAGTCCGTCCCGGAGTGGGATATTGGGTACTCCAAAGGTGGGGAGGTCCTCGGCCCTCCTGAGACCTGTTGATGTGTGGGAATTCACGCCGTCTGCAGGATATAACCTCGTGCAACGCAGTCGCTTATTTAATTTGGGCTACATCCTGTGAAGATAATATCGGAAGTGGTTTGGGCAATTTGCAACCAGGCAGGCGATATATTTAATTTATTTTCAATTGGTATAATTATATCCTTTATAAGTACTTCCTACAAGAAAACTTTTTACAAGAGTATCTTACAATCTTCTATAAACAAATGCTAAATATAAGCGTTATATAATTATTTTATTTTTTGTCTTCATTATTTCACAAAAAAATACACTATAGACGTTTCGTTCCATACATTGTAATAATGGCATGTAAAATTCTAATGATAAAATGTTACGAGCGGCTCAATCAATTTTTGTCACGACGCGGACGGCGTGACATCGATGAAAAAGAACTGATTGTTAGCGCGCATCGACTGTAGCAGCGGTAAAGCACAAAGGCATGCAATAGAGGATCATCTGACAGAGAAGGGCAAACATTGCGTGCCGACATGTGTATGTGCATGCGTATGCGCGCGTCATAAGTGTGGCTGGCGCGCGCAATGCGATCCGATGCACGGATTGCACGGGTGCATATGAGACCGAGTGCAGGGCCTCTCACGTGGGAATTGTTTTAAAATGTGCTGTTATTTATCTGTACAAAGCTGTCGCTGTTAACGCAGTGACATGTTCTGACGTGTTCGCTATTTGTGAAATGTGAATGTATAAAATGTGCAATATGGCTTTATTTTTTTCTTTTTTTTTTTTACACATATTTTAGAGAGAGAAACTTAATTCACCTATATAAAATTGCGAATTAAAATAACAAAATTACTTTTGAATTACGAAATCGATGCTTAAAATTTCGTTACAGGGAAAGAATGGTTTTGCTGATATATCTAAAAATTTAGTTATACATCATACAGATCAAAAAATAATTTTGTTAAATCATCAAGATAATTGTGTAGAAAATTCAAACATGCTGAGCAACGCTACAACAAGCTTCGACAAACTGTAATTATTTTAAGTTTAATAAAATTATTTACAA